TCATGTTAAGAAAGGCCCCTACAGAGTCTGGGGGGGTTTCTCTCCCCTTTCCTTCTCAAGGTCCTTTAGCACCTGGAGCAGTGGATGAGCGAGGTTCCTCATATTCTCAGAAGGAGTAAAGCCCTCACTGTCTTGGTAGCTCACTTGATGGTTCTTCTCTGAAAGATATATAGCTTTGCTCTATTCCAAAGATATATTAAGACTCCTTTGCTCCAGATAACATAGACCAAATTCAGCTTGCTTAAGTATGAATAAAACAGACTCACATAACTGAAACATCCAGGGCAGATCCTAGCTTGAGTCTAGCTGGATTAAGAAGCAAAAATAATGTCATTAGGACTAGATCTTATATTTGTGATTTTTTTGGCACTGCTTCCCTCCCAGGTGACTCCATTTTTGGACTGGCTTTGCCCTGTCCAAGGCAAGCAAGAACTGTAGATTTCCCTCCTTCATTTCAGCAACCACACAGAAAATATTCTTTCTTCCCAACTGTTTAAACAAGAGATCAGAAATTAGACTAATTAACTCTATCTTTCCAATTATTCACACTTGGATCCTTTCTTTCTCTCATGTCCCATCTCCAATTTGACAGGAAGTTGTATTGACTCTACCATCAAAACATATCCCAAATCAAACCAGTTCTAATCCCATTTCTCACCATCTCCTCAGTTATCCCTCAGATCTAAACTACCATCATATTGTAGGGAAGCAAAAATCTGCTATCCCAAAACATGTTTTTTTAGCAATGTTAATTTCACGGGAGGGGCTGTGAAGCCAGGTAGAAGTTGCCCCTTTGAAGGAGAGTAGACATGTATAAAGGAGAAGTTAGCTCCTTCACTATGTAGGAAAGCCCTCACCTTCTTATCTCTTTTCAATGGAAAAGGCAAAACTTAATCTATATACCTTTGTCTAGTGTGACTTCCTTGGTAAACTTCATAAACTTCCCTTTTCTTCCTCCTAACATTCCTTAGCTAAGCTATTTAAGATGGTAATCTGGGGCCTCCCTGGTGGCACAGGCTGTTGAGCACAGCGCTGTGAAGATGTCCGCAGCCTCTGCAATGCTGGTTTGATCCCCGCCAGCCACGGAACAACCTACATGGCTCAGCAGACCTCTCCTTTCTCGCCCGCTGCTCCCCTCAGCAGTGTATTTCGGTCAGTCTGCCTGTTCTGTTCCCCGCTCTGCTTCTGGTGAATCCTCTCTCTCCCGCACATCTGGCCTGTACCCAGTTCTTGTATAAATAAAATGAATCTTTAAAAAAAAAAAAAGATGGTAGTCTGAAGCTAAGTAGATGAATTACTTAGTTTTATTGGGTCTCTCCCATGTATACAGGAATATGTATACATATTATTATTAAACTTCTTTTTTGAACTTTTTCTCTTATCAATCTATCTGATGCCTGTTAATTTGTCAGCCTAGAAGAACCCAGAGGGTACAAAATGATTTCCTTTGTGCCCCCAACTATTTTTATTTTTTTTAATTTATTTTTTTTTAATTTTTTTTTTAATAGAGGCATGTTTTATTTTATTTATTTGTTTGTTTGTTTGTTTTGTTTATACATGCACTGGGTACAGTCAGAAGCGCGGGAGGGTGAGAGAATTCACCAGAGCCAGAGCGGGGGGCAGAGCAGGCAGAAGGACCGAAGTACACTGCTGAGGGGAGCAGCGGGCGGCAGGAGAGGTCTGCGCGCCATGTGGGACCCTCCTCCGGCGGCCGGGGAGCAGCCGGGGATCGAACCGGCGCCGCAGAGGCTGCGGGCAGCTTCGCAACCCAGCGCTCAACCGCTGCGCCACCTGGGAGGCCCCCAACTATTTTTAATGTGGATTATTACAATAATCTGAAACTATTCTTACTTCTACTCTTACTCCCTACTACCTATTCTCAGCAAGCAACCAGAGTAATCCAGTAAACTATAACAAAACAAAGAAAAAGTTCTTTTTAAAAAAAAAAAAGATTTATTTATTTATGCATACAAGAACTGGGGTACAGGCCAGAGATGTGTGTGTTGGGGGGGGGGGTGACAGGATTCACCAGAGACAGAGTGGGAGAAGAACAGGCAGACTGACTAAAATACACTGTTGAGGGGAGCAGCAGGTAAGTCAAAAGAGGTCTGCTGGCCCACGTGGGTAGCTCCCTGGCTGGGGATAGTGCTGCAGTGGCGGCGGAGAGTTTCACAGGTTGTGTCAACCCCTTGCACCACCAGGGAGACCCCAAAGAAAAAGTTCTGAACTGACTATTATCCCCAGATTTCATGCAGAAGGGGGAGACAGAAGCACCTATCTCCCTGTCTTTCCCAGAAAGAATTTTATTTGCATAATTTGAAAAGCTGCTGCCCAAGGATCTGGTTCCCCATTAGTTTACTTTTAGATGATGATAAAGGAGAAGTCAAAAATTAGGACTAGTAGTAATATCAACCCATGACTTAGGGAGAGCTTAGAGACTGCATGTTTGTGCCCTCTTCCTCCTCCTTGTCCCTATTCGCTTACTGAAACCTAATCCACAATAGATAAGATGGGGTCTTTCGGAGGTAATCAGGTCATTGAGGGTGAAGCACTCCTCTTATGGTATTAGTGTCTTTATAAAGAAGAAAGAGGAAAGTACCTTTGCACTCTCTCTAACCTCCTTCCCACCATCCTGCCTCTCTTCAATGTGAGGACAGAGCAAGCTGACAGGTATTTGCAACCAGGCAGAAGGCTCTCACCTGAACCCAACCTGCTGACACCCTGATAGCCTTTCCAGTCTTTACAACTGTTAGAAATAAATGTCTATTTTTAAATTCACCCAGTCTACGTATTTTGCTAAAGCTGTCTGAACTAAGACAGATTAACGTTGAAAATAGGGAAATTAATTCAACAGATAATCATTTGTGACTCAGAGAAGGAATTTCCATGACCCAGGGCAGAAACGTGATTATGAATACTTACTCATGAGTGGCTGGAGGCAAATCACAAAATAGCAAATGAATAAACTGCTAAGAAGAGCCTGAGAGCCTACTCCAGAGAGGGTATTACAGTAGTCATACAGGACCCTGCATTCAGGAGACTTCCTGACTTGGCTTAATGTTCATATGTCACTGTTAAGAAATTCTTAATAATTTTTTAATAAAGAGCCCTCCATTTTCATTTTGCACTAGGTTCACAATTATGCACTAAGTTGTGCAAAGCACTGAAGGGACCCAAAATGTTTTATTCATTGAGTATTCACTTAATATTCAACAAGTGAATAAATTGCCTATTATGAGTAAAAAGGTCTCTACAACCCCTGACATTCAACCTTCTTAAGCCCTAATTTAAGTCATCTAAAAAATGAAAATAATAGGGCCTACTCATAAGTTTATTAGAAGAGGAATTAAATGCGATCAGGAACATAGGGTTCTTAGAATAGTGCAAAGTAAATGGTAAGTGTTCAATAATGTGAGTGACTATGATGAATTTCCAGGACCTAGCATTGTCTGGCACATTGTAAGAGTTCAATAAAGTGGAGATAAAATGGAAATCTCAGATTAATCTAGTTTGATATATTTTTGTATAAATGAAACAGATATGGCAGATATGGCTACATATACACATCCATATGTACTTAAAACATTAATTAGGCCTAGAAGAAAACATAAAGGGATATTCACAAAGTTGCTGACTATGGTCAAATCTGTGTGATAGTATTTAAGGGAAGAAATTCTTATTTTTATTTTATATATTCTCCTTATTTTAAAAAACTTGTCTTTTAGAAAAATAAAGCAACTGGAATATTCTGAATATAGTGGCTGATAACAAGGTTTATAGAATAACACAATTCCTTCCTTCTAAGAATTACCTTCCTTCTGTTCAAAATATCTTCATCCAATTTCTATTCTTTCAGTTGATTCTGCTATAATTTGCTATTGATCTTAGAAAAATCAACTCCTTGATCTGCTTAAGAGCTTTCTCATTTATAAGATGAGACAATTGAGATAGTGCTTTCCAATAATGGACTTTGCCATGCTAGTGTCCTGAATGTAGGTGAGGTTCTGATAATAGGCCAGTTGAGAAGATTCAGAGCCGGGAAGAATCTCCCTGGCCAGTCCCTCTGGTCATGAGCAGCTTTGTTTAGGGGTTCCTGGGATATCTGTGCAAAGAAAGCAGTTTGAGGTGTAAGTCAAATAAGCAGCAAGTATGGGGGACAACAACCAGCTCATTCAGTTCAGCTGTTTATATGCTACCAAAGAGATGCCAGTGACATGGGTATCTATCTGCAAAGCACCCCAAGGCCTGGCATAATGGGGTTCCTGATGGGCTCAGTTCCAGGTAATGCCTCTAATATTTGTCTTCACACACATTTAGTGGATATTTCCATCCTTTTGCTGAGATGAACTCTTTTAGTGGCACACGTTAGCTGTTGACAGTGTGTGTATGTTCTGAAATGTATATTTTCAGCGAAAAAATTTTGATATAAAATGCAGTATTGGGCCTCCCTGGTGGTGCAAGGGTTTAAGACGCAACCTATGAAGCTATCCGCAGCCACTGCAGCTGGCCAGGGAGCAACCCACATGGTGCAACAGACCTCTCCTGACTTGCCCGCTGCTCCCCTCAGCAGTGTATTTCAGTCAGTCTGCCTGTTCTGCTCCCCACTCTGTCTCTGGTGAATCCTCTCACTCCCCACACCTCTGATCTGTACCCCAGTTCTTGTACACATAAATAAATCTCTTAAAAAAATTTTTAATAAATAAATAAAAATGCAGTATTGGGTTTGAAATTCATTAGCATTAGCATATGAAATTGCAACATTACATTTATCAATAAAAGAATTGTCATTCTTTAATATAATTAGCTTAGCTAGATGCATTAAAAAAAACTAATGTTGATAAACTACATACCCAAAATCAATATAATCTATGTTACTATCCTGCCTAAGGTAACTGATAAATCTAACACAATCCCAATCAAAATACCAACATATTTTTCAAAGAAATTGAATTTATATTGAATCACAATAGGGAACCTCAAATAGCAAAGGCCATCCTGAGAAAAAAGTAGAGAAAGAGAGGCATCATGTAACTGACTTCAACCTTTATTATAAAACAACAGTATTAAAAACCATAAGGTATTGAGACAAAAATAGATATATGGATCAATGGGACAGAGTTTAAAGCCAAGAGATAAATCCACATAGGTATTCAGTAACTAATCTATGATAAAGTAGGCAGGATCATACAATTGGGAGAGTCTATGTAATAAAATGTGCTGGGAAAACTGGGAGGCCACACACAAAATAATGAAGTTGATCACATACATAAAAATAAATTCTAAGTGGACCAAAGATTTAGAAATAAGGTCTGGAACAACAAAATATATAGAAGATATGCAGAAGGCTAGTAGATAGATGAAAAATGTACATCATCGCTTCTAACAAGAGAAATGCAGATTAAATTCACAATGAGATACCATCTTACATCTTTGAGAACAGCACATATTTTTTTTAAGTAATTTTTAATTAATTAATTAATTAATTATTTATACAAGCACTGGGTACAGTCAAGCGCAGGAGGGTGGGAGAATTCACCTGAGCCAGAGAGGGGAGCAGAACAGGCAGAAGGACCGAAGTACACTGCTGAGGGGAGCAGCAGGCGGCAGGAGAGGTCTGCGCACCATGTGGGACCTTCCTCCGGTGGCCAGGGAGCAGTCAGGGATCGAATGGGCGCAGCAGAGGCTGCGGGCAGCCCAGCGCTCAACCGCTGTGCCACCGGGGAGGCCCAAGAACAGCACCTATTAATAAGATCCCCAACAAGAAGAATTAGAGAGGATTCAGAGAAAGAATAACTCTATTACACTGTTGGTGGGAATATAAACTGGTGCATCCATTATGGAAAGCGATTTGCATTCATCTTCAAAAGGTAAAAATGAAAAGAACATATGACCCAGCAATCCCACTCTTGGACATCTATTCAAATAACATGAAATCATCAACATAAACCTATTTACTCTATAATGTTTACTTCAACACTATTTACAATAGCTATGACAGGGAAGCAGCCTAAATGTCCTTCAAGAGATGATTGGATAAAGAAGATGTAGTATAGCCACACTATAAAATACTATTCAGTCAAAGGAAAAAATGAAATGCGGCCATTTACAGAAAAAGGGAGGAAGTTTAAAGGAATTATTTATAGTAAAGCAAGTTAGAATAAAAAACACACTGGATATTTATGTAACAAGCAATTTGACAAAGTAAAACAATTACAAAAACAAGCAGACATTAATAGATTTAATGAGGACTCAGAGGCAGGAGTGGAGAAGGCGAAAGGGGACAAGAGGCTATAAAAGATAGGGTTGGGGGGGAATAAAACCCCACATACCTTCTGGATGAACAAATCTGGAGGCACCAAATTTCACTGAAAGGCAAAGACTTGAATAAGTGCACTGAATAAGAATACCATATTCTTCATGAAGTGGTTAGTATCCCTCTATTGTTTCTTAAATATAAGAATTTAATATAATTCAAAGAAGACTAACAGAAGTTATTAATTAGAAATAACTTGGTTGAAAAACATGTGTACAAACATGACCTAAAGTTAAGTGGTCATGCTAACAGTGTTTCATATGGTACTTTGATATGAATATCATCTTTTCAAAATTGATCAAGTTACCTACCACTGTTTCATAGTACTCAAACTCACAAAGCCTTGATGCATTAACTGGACATAAAGGATATAAATTTCCCCAATTATTTCAAGTACTGTTGTTAGCTATTGGGAACATTGATAAGCAGCATACATAATAGTTGGCTTATGATGATGGAATCAGAGCAACAGGAGGAGGCTCGTTTGGAGGTTATTTCATCCAAATTCCATTAAAGCCTGGTTACAGCCCTGCAACTGAGTACCTTTTGTTCATGTCTGCCAAACAAAATGCCTGTTCCACTTGGATAAGTCCAGATAAACATCAATAAATTTTCTTTCCTAAACTCCAAGCTCTGCTAACACAAGCTGTTTTTCAAACAATTTACAATAAAATTGTTGGATTTGTAACCTTTCCAAGTGAGGGCCTGATCAATTCTAAAGGACGGTTACATTAAAATACAGAGGGCATTTCTCAACAAGGGAGGGAATCTCCCTTGCCAATCAATTGTGGTCACTTTTTTCAGTACCTTTGTTTAAATGTGGACCCACAAGTTATTAATTTATAGCTTGCATGCATGTTAGAGATCACCTAATTTCATCCCCATTTTCATGAAAAAGACTAAAGTTCAGTGAGTTCAATGATTTCAAATCACCTGATGAGGCCCACAAAAGATGAACTCTCCAGCCTTTAACTCTAATCATCTCATTCATTATATTTTCACAACAGGAAACATTAAAGTAAAAATGACTGGCAAATAGTTTATCTGGCCACCCTACTTTTAGAAAACTTGTAAATTACACAATTCCTTATATTCCACCTATGGGAGAACGGTTTCAACTCTTTCCACAGAAACCAGAAGTGTTAGAAAACAGTGCCAAGAGATTTTTTTGAGTTCATTGAGTACCTAATGAACTGACCTGGTCTAATCCTGCCTCATTTCTTTAAAGGGAAAATTTCAGCATGTCAGCCGCGTTTCGGGGCCTTCTCGAGGTGCCCATAATCTGTATCTGGTAGTGTCGTAGGTTTCAGTGCGGCCCTCACAGGTGGGTGTCACTGCCACACAAACTTGTCCCTGGCAATAAGAAACCGGCGCGATGCCGAGGGGCAAAGAAGATTTTATCTTGCAACCTCTGACTACAGAAGAGAAAAGTGTGGTTTTACTCAGGCACGGTGGGAATAAACTCGGAAATGGAGACCGAGAGACCTCTGTGGAGGAGGGGAAAGAAGCGCGAGAAGAAAGGGAAAGGCCCTTTTCACCGGTGACGCGCGGTCACGAGCCGTTCTCCCGACGTGGGCGCGCGCCATTGGCGGAGCGCAAGCTGACGTCCCTGCAGTCGCCCGGGCGCGAACGACGGCAAGGGCGGCGCCGCACTGGAAGTTGGCGAGGCGCGCGCGCTCCCGCGGCTCGCCACGCCCCCGCCCTCCATCCGCCAACCCGCTCGTCCAGTCGCTCTTCGCGCCCAGTTGGCCACGCCCCCTCCACGCCCGCCCCTCCTCCACCAGACCGGCGGCGCGCGGAAAGCGCGTCACGTGACGACTGGCCCCGCCTCTTCCTCTCGGTCCCATATTGAACTCGAGTTGGAAGAGGCGAGTCCGGTCTCAAAATGGAGGTAAAACCGCCGCCCGGTCGCCCCCAGCCCGACTCCGGCCGTCGCCGCCGCCGCCGGGGGGAGGAGGTATTAGGGGGAGAGTGGGGGGTTGATGGGTAGTGGCCGGCGTGGGGGGCCTGGCTTGGTGGGAGCGGGGAGGCCGGGTGGACTGGGTCGGCTGTCCCGCGCTCTGCGTTGAGACGGGCGGTGGGAGGGGGAGGGGAACGGGCCTCAGCGGCCTCCTTGGAGCCCCTCGCCCGCCTCATCCTCCTCTTCGGCTGCACAGGTGGCCTCTAGCAGGAGCGGCGCGGCTGGGGAGAACCTCGGGAGGGACGCCGGCCCGCCGGCCGCGCGGCCTCGGATGCGAGGCCGAGGGCGGCATGGCGGGCCTCGGCGGGAGCGGTTGGGAGGAGGCGGTGGGGGAGGGGAGGGGACGAGCAGGCACATCCGGGCGAGCGAGCAGGCGGGCGGCGGCCACATTGACATTGATCCGCTGCCGCGTTACGAAATGGCGCATTGGCCCGCAATGGCCGCCGCTCCGCCGCCGGGAAAGAGAGCGCGGGATTGGAAGCGAGAGGGAGGAGGCGGCTCGGCAGAAAATGCCGCAAATGGCCTCGCAGCTTGGGGCGCAGTGTTGGCGCTGAAGTTGTGCCGGCGCCTTGCTAGGCCTCACCGGTCTCTTTAAGACAACGAGGATTTCGTTTTCTGTGCGGTGGTTTGGGCCGCCGCTCAGTTGGAAATAGGAAAAAGTGTTAGTTTGCTGCTTTTAATTACTTTCTGATGTGCCTCGTTAAAGTCCTAGTAATTTTATATATTTCTCGTGCCATGTGGATGCCCGTGTTCACCATCTCGCTTTGCTGTACAATGGGGCCAGAGGTTTGTTTTTTTTTAATCACCATTTTTCTTCGAATGGTCGACTCTGGTTGTAGTTTCTTGGATTTTTATTTTGGAGAATTGCAACCATAGTTTTGAGATGATTTTATGTTGCTTGTAATGGAGTTTTCTTGTCGTGTTTGTATTGTCAGTTAGTTGTATTTAACAGGGTGGAAAAACAAAACTAAGTGAGATAAGGGCTTAGGCTATTAATTTGACCTTTTTTTTCGCAGTTCCTGACAATTTTCATATTATATTCCTTAACCTCTACTTTCAGGAAGACAGCTGTTATCCCCTTTAAACAAGGTTTCAGTCCGTGTATTAAATTAAATGCCAGTTAATATCATCAAAGAATTAAGTCGTAAACCGTTTAGGCCTCATTTTAATTTTTTTTAATGTCAATTTTTGGTGTACTGTGCTCCGTTTGCTTTAAGCTATATATGCTATACTTATGTGCAGTTTGGGCTTGTAAGCCTCTAATATGTGTTGTTGAAATTTTGCTCTGTGATAAAAGTGCAGATAAATGTTTGCAGCTTACAACGTGTAAAATGTAAATGGTTACAGGAAAAAAAATTTGAATTTTTTTCTAGGATTTTGGCGGGGGGCGACGATGCTTTTTTAATACAAAGACTATGTTAGCAGTTTCATTTTCTTGAAGCCAATGAGTTTTTTTTTTTAATTTGCGAGCCATAACTTTTAAGTTGTACTGGATAGCTTGTGCTTTAAAATGTTGGGATGTGGACTGAGGAGGGAAGATGTGAAAAGAAATAGCATGGATGAAATACTAACAGCATTTTTTGGTTTCTTAGAAAATGGTTTTTCAGTGGTAACTTCTAAAATAAACTCCAGACACTTGTTTTTTATTGTTGTTCTGGAGTTCTCTAGGTCTTCAATTTAGTTAAGGTGATAAAATGTCATTTGAAAGATTGGTTATTGATTTTCACTGTATCAACTTTAATCCATTGACGTGTAAGATTAGGCTGAAATTCTTAGCTAGGCAATGTTTAATGGTACAGGAATTTGATGTTGTTAATTATTTACAGCAAATGCATGGGGGTTTGTTTGTGGGGTTTTTTTTGTTTTTTGTTTTTTGTTTTTTTTTTCCTCCTCTAGCAGTTATTCTCAGAAAGATAACTAAAGTATGTTGGTTTGTTTCTTCAGGGCCATGATCCAAAGGAACCGGAGCAGTTGAGAAAACTGTTCATTGGTGGTCTGAGCTTTGAAACTACAGATGATAGTTTAAGAGAACATTTTGAGAAATGGGGCACACTTACAGATTGTGTGGTAAGTAAAGGAACAAAAAGGATCTTTAGAAGGGATAAAGGCCCTAAGGAAGTGTTTCAATGCTTTAATTTTTATTTTGTAGGTGATGAGAGACCCCCAAACAAAACGTTCCAGGGGCTTTGGTTTTGTAACTTACTCTTGTGTTGAAGAGGTGGATGCAGCAATGTGTGCTCGGCCACACAAGGTTGATGGGCGTGTAGTGGAACCAAAGAGAGCTGTTTCTAGAGAGGTATTTTAATATAACCATGTTGTATAACGGGTGGAGTTGTTACGAAAATTATTTTTTGACTTTTTTTTTTTTTTTTTTTTGGAATAGGATTCTGTAAAGCCTGGTGCCCACTTAACAGTGAAGAAAATTTTTGTTGGTGGTATTAAGGAAGATACAGAGGAATATAATTTGAGAGACTACTTTGAAAAGTATGGCAAGATTGAAACCATAGAAGTTATGGAAGACAGGCAGAGTGGAAAAAAGAGAGGATTTGCGTTTGTAACTTTTGATGATCATGACACAGTTGATAAAATTGTTGGTAAGTAGCATATGGAATTTGAATGAGAAAACTTCTATACTAAATTTTGCTAAATTACACTTAAATTATGAATAATAACATAAATTATATGGTTCCATATTCATGAAGTGGCTATGCCTGTATAACCAGCCTTTAAATAAAGAAAGGTCATTAACATCCCAGAATATTCCCTCATCCCCACTCAAAGTCATTATCTCTTGATGCTTAATGAGTTCTTTAGTGATAACGGATATCATTTACATGTTTTTTTTTTCCCCAAACATCACATAACTTGTTTGTTTGTTTGATTAAAAAAAATTTTTTTAGTTCAGAAATACCACACTATTAATGGGCATAATTGTGAAGTGAAAAAGGCCCTTTCTAAACAAGAAATGCAGTCTGCTGGATCACAGAGAGGTGAGTAGTACCGTATGTGTGAACATGGTCAATGTGAGTGGTGTTTATGCGGTTCTTAAAGATCTTTCTTATATGTGTTAAAGGTCGTGGAGGTGGATCTGGCAACTTTATGGGTCGTGGAGGGAACTTTGGAGGTGGTGGAGGGAACTTTGGCCGTGGTGGAAACTTTGGTGGAAGAGGTAGGATGGTTATATTATTTCTCAATTCATGTCTATCTAAAATTTATTGGTGAGTTGAAAATATATATATGCGTATGTATTTTTTAATGCATACCTTGTTTTTCTTCAGGAGGTTATGGTGGTGGAGGTGGTGGCAGCAGAGGTAGTTATGGAGGAGGTGATGGTGGATATAATGGATTTGGAGGTGATGGTAAGGTTTTGTTTTTTTATAATTTTGATTGTTTCTGTACTTAATTGAAAATTAAATATGCTTTTATAAATTTTAGTCAAAACTAATGCCATAGATTATTTTCCCCTCGAGATACATTAGCTCTTTTTGGTTACTAACATTGTGCTTAGCATTTGAGCTGCAATTTGAATTATTTATGTCTAGATAATATGTTTACTGTTTTCTTTAATGAGTTTATATTTTAAATTTTTTTTTCAGTATTAAAGGATATTTAGGTAATTGATTTTGATTCTTGCCAAGATTCTTGCTGTTGTTACCAGGTGTTACTAGGCTTAACAGTGTTGAATCAACTCATTGGCTTATTTCTAGTCATTCTAAATGTAAACTAGAATTCAGTAGCCGTATATTTATGGTTTCATCACCTGATTTATTTTTATTGCTTTTCTGTTTTTTGTTTTTTTTTAGGTGGCAACTATGGTGGTGGGCCTGGTTATAGTAGTAGAGGAGGCTATGGTGGTGGTGGACCAGGATATGGAAACCAAGGTGGTGGATATGGTGGTGGAGGAGGAGGATATGATGGTTACAATGAAGGAGGAAATTTTGGAGGTGGTAAGCTTTTACTTGTTTTCAATGTTAACTATTTGCAGTTTTATTATAGGAGTCTAAAAATGTTCGAGTATAGCATTTGGTCAAACCTTGTGTTCTGTAATAGGAAAGGATCAGATTGGTGGGTAGTTGAGTTGAATTTTCCATGTTCTCTAACTTGTTTTATATGTTTTTAAAATGGATATTTATCTAATTATTGCCAGAATTTTACTTTAGAGTTAGGTACTTTTAAATTCAACAGATGGAAGGTATAAATTGAATTTGCAGATATGTTGAAGTGAATAGTCATCTGGGGTTTAGGTGACAATTGCTGTGAGTAGATAGATTGCAAAATTAAATAAGTCATTACTTTTCAACATATCTTGATATATTGATTTTGAAGTTATGTTGCCTTAGAATTACAGTGAATCAAACATGATTATGATGGGTATCAGTGGTATAAAAGAGGGACCATGTACTAAGGGAGTAGTGTTTAATAATAAAGAAAATATGACATCTGTCAGGATACATCATTTGTTGGCTTTTATTTATACTGAGCTCTGTTGATCGGTCTCTGCTTCTGGTAGTTCTATAAAATAACTTTTCAAAGGTCTGCATGTAATGATGGTATGGTTGTTAAAAACTAGGGTCAGCCACAAATAAGAATCTTTGTCATTTCAGGTAACTATGGTGGTGGTGGGAACTACAATGATTTTGGGAATTATAGTGGACAACAGCAATCAAATTATGGACCCATGAAGGGGGGCAGTTTTGGTGGAAGAAGCTCGGGCAGTCCCTATGGTGGTAAGTATTCTTTAAAATTACTCGATGACTTTTTAAATTTGGAAACCAGTGTGCATTTCTTACAAAAACTTAAAATGTATTTCCAGGTGGTTATGGATCTGGTGGTGGAAGTGGTGGCTATGGTAGCAGAAGGTTCTAAAAATTCAGCAGAAAAGGGTAGGTATCTTCAAATTTCTATCATAATGATAAAGAATATGTGGTACTGTTCACTGAGTGTAATAATTTTTTTATCCTGTATTATTCAACAGGCTACAGTTCTTAGCAGGAGAGAGAGCGAGGAGTTGTCAGGAAAGCTGCAGGTTACTTTGAGACAGTCGTCCCAAATCCATTAGAGGAACTGTAAAAATCTGCCACAGAAGGAACGATGATCCATAGTCAGAAAAGTTACTGCAGCTTAAACAGGAAACCCTTCTTGTTCAGGACTGTCATAGCCACAGTTTGCAAAAAGTGCAGCTATTGATTAATGCAATGTAGTGTCAATTAGATGTACATTCCTGAGGTCTTTTATCTGTTGTAGCTTTGTCTTTTTCTTTTTCTTTTCATTACATCAGGTATATTGCCCTGTAAATTGTGGTAGTGGTACCAGGAATAAAAAATTAAGGAATTTTTAACTTTTCAATATTTGTGTAGTTCAGTTTTTCTACATTTTAGTACAGAAACTTTAACAAAATGCAGTTTTGAAGGTGTTTCCTTGTGAGTTAACAAGTAAAGAAGATCATTGTTAATTACTATTTTGTATGAATTTTGCTAAAGTTAACTGTAAAGAAACACCTGCTGACTTGCAGTTCAAGGGGAATCTATTCTCCCCATTTCCAAACCATGAAATGAATGGGCACTGACATGTGGAGAGAATAGATACTTGTATGTTTGCAATGTGTTTTAGATAAATAGAATTGGGTATTTAAATTAGCATACTTGTGAATTTAATAGCATTAAGATTTACCTTCAAATGAAAACTCTCAAAATTTCTATTTGGTTTTTGTGCATTTTCTTTCAAAATGTAATCATGATTTTAGTGTGTTGGCTTTGCTGAGAGTCCTAGCTGTGTTTTGAACATCTCCATTTTACATTGCCTTGGTCACATGTGAACTGATGCCATAGTTTTGAGTGTAAAGAATGTCTGCTGCCCTGTTTAAATTCTGGAAAGGGTAGTGGATATTTTCCCTTTCCTCCTCTAAAACCCATTCTTTAAAATCTTTTCAAAATTCAGAACCACTAAGCTGCTATATGTGAGCAAATTAGTGGTGACTTTTTCTTTTTTAAAGCACAAGAGGCCCATAAGTCTTCAGTTATTTTCCTTGGTTTAATATATTTTTTTGATACAAGCTCTCAGAGTAAGAGAATAAAAATCATGCATTGTTGAACCCTTAACTGGCTGGCATGCTTTCCTGTTTGTACCCTCTACATTTTACTGGCTAAAACCAAGGATAGTCTAAGGTATAATCATCCCAAATGATTTATTGCAGTAGAAATGTAGCACAGTTGCTTAGTATAAGATACTCACTTCCCAAAGACCTGAATTCAAATTTGGATATTTTTGAGTTCTTAAATTCCCAAAGAACATACTGATACTCGATGTGTATACTTGAATCTAAATCATGTTGGTATAAGTTAATTTGTCTGGGAGGACCCTGACTGAGAAGGTGTAGATCATGAGGTCACACATACATAACCACCACGGTCTACTGTTTTGCGCCAGCTAGTGCTTACAATTTTCATTCGAGCTCTAAGTATGTGCCCTGCTGTTATTCTTTCTTTGGCAGTTGAACGTTGAATTGGAGATTTCTTATTTTTGTTCTAAGGAGTACTAAGCAAAACAAGCAATAAAAAGGGGAATGGGGCGCGCTAGTGTTTGAATATGCTCTCTTGTTCTAATTCTGTGCATTATTAATACTTGGATGCATGCAATGCCAGCATGGAAATCGGTCTTCACAGATACTGCAGTTTTCCAGAAAACACTCACAAACAAATAAATGTAACAGACAACATTCCATTTGTTAATGGACATATGTGAATAAGCAGCGTAGAAAATAGGCTATTAGAAACTGGTTAAGTCCTTCAAATTCAAGTGTGGTATATAAATGGACACTGTCAATGTTCATAACTTAAACCTGGGTACCTGGTCAAAGTAATGCTTGGGAAACACTATTAAAATTGAGCTAAATTGTCTCAAGTTCTTTTATTCATATAATAAAGGTTGAAGGGAATGGGGGAGATCAACATACCTGTTTCGATGTTTGTGAAATTGTTTGATACAACCTTGACAGTATCCTTTAATGACATGGAGTTAATTGTACTGTTAACAAATTTTCTGTGTTCTGGAATTAGTGTAATAGTGAAAACATTTTCAGTAAGTTGATGTTTGCAACCTATAAGCAGGTGAAATCTGTGTATGTGACCTGTTTATAAGTTGTATTAGCTTAGTTCTTGTGAACAGTGTGGAAAAGTAAGCCATGAGGAGAGCGTTTAACCAGCTTTAAAGGACCTAAGATGTGCTTTTTAAGCACAGTGTGGATCAAAGGAGACTCACTAAGACAGGACTTCAGCAGCCTTTTGAGTATGGACAAGTCAGCATAAATAAAGAATGACAAGGCAGCAGCAAGAGCTTCAACTACAGAGAAGTGAAGGCATAAGATACTATGATGATAGTGAGCAACTTTTCAAAAGCTAGTTAAATCTGCTTTTTACAACTGAAATATCGAAGAAAGTCTAGCAGGAAGGAGCTTCGCCTTTTGGAACTTCAATGAGAGATAGTTGCCACAGTCACTAGGTCTAGCATTTAGACCTGCAAGGAAGGGCAATAAGCATTAGGTAAGGCTTGAATTTGAATTTTTTCACTAATTAAAGAGTAATTTTTTGTAAAGCAAGGTAAGAGTAATCTTTTTGATTTGCAGGTTGAATGAGAACCCTACTTGCCTAAATGAGGAATGTCTTTCCTACCATCTTAAATACGAAGGTTTCTGGCTGGGTAAGGTTTGTAGCTCACAGTAAAACCTCATGACACCATTTGCTTCCTTAAAAATTTATATTAGGTATTTAAAACATACAGGTAGATGGTTGAAAATCTTACTTGGAAAACTACATTCAACACATTATAAAACTTTTGAAATATCCCTGCAGTAACCATGAAGCGTTCATCTTGAGTCAGATGTGGCCCCCTATGTATACAATTTATTGTTGGTGTCTTTAGGGTAAAGTACATTTTGACAAAGGATAGCTCAAATTTTGAGAACATCTTTGGTGATACACAAGACGAAGTAGACAAACTGCCAATCCTTATTCTGGGGGAAAAGCATTTTGGAAGGAATTTTCAAAATTATACAGGTGTAAAATGGTCTCACAAGTTCTCACATATAAATTCATTTGGGCTAAACATTTGGGAGGGAGTGTCAAGGGTTGGTTATAACTTCTGGACTAGAAAAAGTGGGGTTCTAATCCCTCCTTTTGAAAAACCTAGAGTGAGTAAAACACATAACTGTTGAGATCAGTTGCTGATCATTGATAAGGGCTATTGCTGCACCAGAAGGGTTTGTTAAAAACAGATTTGATGATTATTCACATTTAAAGCACTTGGGAAAGGGAAACCATGCTTTAAAATGTTTCTAAACCATAAGTCAACTCACTGCATAAACAGTGGGCAGTTGGCCAGAGCTTATTCTCAGAAAACGGCTGGTTGGTTCTGTTTCTGTACTTAAATCAGGACTGAATTACTACACATTGACATAAAATGAAGTGTTGAAAAGGTAATATAATACAGCCTTTTAATAAACTTTACAATATGGTTTTAGTGAAGCAAATTTCCTAAGATAGGAACAACTTTCTTTTTAAAGGCATTGTTCTTTCCAGTTCATCTTAATTCTTTATAAAATAAAGTGATTTTTACTTAAATAGTTCACTGTCGTTTCTGAAAATTACTGTTCTCTCAAGTCAGCGCCAAGATGTCATAAAGGGCAAAATGAGGCAAACTTGAACTGATACTGTTAATAGGTTAGTGCTTCCCACACTATACTACTTGCCCAAAAAAGCTATAGAAGGAAATTTGGTAATGTTAAGGAACTAAGTAATTGAAATAGGCTTGGTTTTATGGTATATAGGCTACAGTATATACAATTTGAAATATTTATAATGACTTGGAGTACTAGTAATTGATGTCACAAAGTAGCAAATAAGCATGCAAATGTGCCAGGGTTAATGTAAGGATTGATAGTCTAATCAAAATTTTAAATTTCAATGTTTCTGATTTTTAAGAAGAGGTGGTCTGTAATGGATTCAAATGTTTGATTTGTAGCATAATGAAATGTTTACAGAAAGATAACTTTTTCATTAAAGTATTTTTAGAAATGTGTGTGTGATTTTGTTTCGTGATGTTGGTGACATACTGTAGATGATTATTACTAGTAAAATGAACAGAAAACTTGAAGCGAGCCTTCAAAATAACTACATTAAAAATGGGAAACAGGAATTGTGCGTGTCTCCTAAGGATTGTCTGGAACATAAAGTATACATGAGTTGCTTGGATGACATGAACCAATTGTGGGGGCAATACATAATTACAAAATAAAGTGGTACCTCCCTGATGGCACAAGCATTAGTCTCACAGCTGCCCCACTGTTCCCTTCAGCAGAGTTTTTTCAGTAGACCCACCTTTCTCACCCTGGTGACTCACACACACACCTCTTGGCCTATAGCCCAGTTCCTGTATTGACAATAAAATGTAAGTGAAAAGCTGGAAGTTGAAATGGTACAGATGGTGGAGCTACTACTGTAGGCCCTTGAATGTTCATATTTTAAAGGAGGAAAAACTTGCCCAAAACTGATTTGAGGATCCCTGCATTTGGTGTAGCTTATGGTCACATTTTCCAAAAGAAACTACCAAAGTAAAAACTTAAAATACCTTGGGTTTTTTAATCTTGACTGGCAGCGGATGAGTGAAACATTTTGGGGTGATGTTGACCAACAGGAAAGTCTAGTCAAACTACAGTGTTGTAACACATGGAAAGTAACCATTAAAAGATTCCTTGGCTAAGGTTTTGATGGTGATTTAAGTTCTTTATGGCACAACTATAAATTCTTAGCTTTAACATGTTAAGTAGAAATTGTAAAGGAAAGGATTTTTTTTTAGAATTGCAAGATATTTTTTTTACATTGGTTTCACAGTATATTTTTCCATATTCTATGGGGTTTAGTGCCTTGTAATGGCCAGTCTCAAACTGATTGCCACTAAAATAGGTATATTTTGGGCCTCCCCGATGGCGCAGCGGTTGAGCGCTGGGTTGCGACGCTGCCCGCAGCCTCTGCAGCGCGTTCAATCCCCGGCTGCTCCCCGGACACCGGAGGAGGGTCCCACATGGCTCGCAGACCTCTCCTGCCGCCCGCTGCTCCCCTCAGCAGTGTATTTCGGTCCTTCTGCTTGCTCTGCTCCCCGCTCTGGCTCTGGTGAATCCTCTCACCCTCCCGCGCTTCTGACTGTACCCAGTGCTTGTATAAACAAAACAAACAAACAAACAAATAAAACATGCCTCTATAAAAAAAAATCTTTATATAAAAAATAAAAGAGGTATATTTTTATCAACAAAACTGCAAAATAACACAGGTAGCAAGATTAAAAAATTGTAATACTGGCATTTACTCAACACTGCAATTGAAATTTTTGAAGATTGTTACCGATCCTGTTTAGTATATTAGGTTGTCGAAGTACCAGAGAATGTGGAAGAGTAGGGTGATAGGTAAGTTTTACTTAAATTTTCAAAGATAATCATAACGGCAAACATATTAGGCTGCATCCATGTGGTTACATGGGCATAATACTGTAGGACTAGGAATCAACTTAAAATTTACTGACAGTACGGATAATGAGTGAAAGGGTTTTGACAAGCTTCAAGAGGTGAAGGAAAAATTTACATTTATATAGCTATAATCTTGCAATCACAAATCAGGAATTCTGTCAAATGTTATAGCTGAAAGTTACA